CTGAAGAAGGGTCCCAACCCGGAATGTCAGCTTTCCTGTTCCTCTGATGCTGCCTGGCCTGCTGTGTTCCTCCAGCTCCCCACTTTGTTATCTCTGACTCCAGCATCCGCAGTTCTTGCTTTCCCTGAACATTAGCTGGGTTTCTGGATTAACAATTTAGCAATAATACCAGTACGCTATTGCCTCCCCCTAATATGAAGGAAACAGCATGATGGACAACATTTAAAAAAAACTCACAGAATTTCATGATTTAAACTGTGAGAAAACAGAATTAAACGAATTTTCACTGAGTTTTAATCATTTTTCATTCATGATGGTATGGTTAAAAAGACAATCTTTTTACATAAAATTAATCAATTTATTGCATGTTCAGTTCTTAGCATCCTTACACTTTTAACTACGTATAACTTTATAACTAAGTGATTAGGAATCACCTTACCTCGCAAGGTGTGTTCTGCCTCAATAACTGCATCTAGAGGAGGGGGTTCAATAGCTTTGGCCAAAAATGGTCCAATGCCTCCCAGACGAAGAAGTTTGATACTCAGAGCAACTTCATGAAGAGGTGTGCGGAATATCTCGGGAGTCATATGTGTTTCAAGTCTAAGGGTGGCAAAGATTGGTTGATGATACAAGAATTCTTTTTGTTTCCTGCCACACAATTTTAAAAGTAAATCTGCAAATTTGAAACCAATTTCAATAACCTTGATCTCAATTACAAGGCTACCAAAAGATGGCAGGGCAGTGACTTGCACTGCAAGGAAAACTACTTTAAAACACATTTGTTTATTATAAATTTGAATTTAATTCACACCTCTCAAATCGCGCCCTGCTACATAGATGGAAGCAGAAGCCAGGAAGGACACGTCCTGCTCTTCCCCGTCGTTGTTCCAAATTGGTCTTTGAAGCCCATACTGTGGCGTAGTTTGTCATATTGTTATGAGATGTAAACAGTTTCATTTTTTGTCTGAAAAGTACATTCAAGTAAGGTATAGTTAATAGAGTCAAACAGTTACCACCAAGAAACATTTTGAAGTGCAGCAAAAGAATGATATAATCTTTACTACTCAAGAAATTTAGAAGGTCTGTGATTTACAAGCATCTGACTTACGAACATGATCTCATGCAGGATGGGATTTTAAAGATCCAATACACAAACATATCCTGCAGTTACAAATGGCTCCTTTACATTGTCCTGTATTGTGTTGCAACCTGCATACAAACTGACATACAAGCAGACCCGCTCGCAACCCAGGGACTGCCTGTAGTATGAATTGCAGAAATGGTATTGAATCAAGCAGGTTAACTCTGGAGTTTCTCAAGTTCTTGTACATTATTCATAAACTACAAGAAAATTACTGTGATAGTGTGTATATTCTAAATATCAACTCTTAAGTAACGTCATTTTTCAAAACAATAAGTGGGTCAGAGATATTGGTGCAGAACATGCCTCATCTATGTAGTTGCTTAGTAACACAGAACTTGAATATTGGTCAAGACAGATACACTGAGGACAGATATAAGAATGCCAAATTTCAAACAATTTATACGACAGTAGAACAGGGTTGCTGACCAAAGCAACTCTGATTGGCAGACTGACTGGAGGAACTACCAAAAAGAAAGGAGGAGGTAACTACAGGCTCTAGTACTTTCGGAAATTCAAAAAAGGTGCAAGAACTAACATTTATTTTGTTTACAGAGAACGGGCTTCTGTACAGGAATAACCCACTGCGCCCCCCCACACCCGATTTAATCATGCATGGGAGACAGCGTGCATAAGATTGGTGGGAGGGGGTGAGGTGCGACAGGGGAGAGGGACTGTGTGCATGTGAGGGAGGAAAAGTGAGAGTGTGTCTGGAGGAAGGGAAAGACAGGGAATGAGACGCTGAGTGAAGATGCGCGAGTGCACGAGACACAGAGGGGACAACAGAGACAGAGAAGCCTAATACTGGGATTTAGCCTGACACACAGACACCCACTCTCTTCTGAGGCCAGTGTGAAGCAGGTATATTCGCAAATGCAATTCCTTAAATTGGCCCTGGCAGTCTTACTCCAGTGACCAGGACACAGGCCTAGTGTTTCTCTCAACCTAGCTCTGGCTATTTGGCACCTTTTTTAAAGGATCACTTTTATTACTTTTTTAAAAATTAGCAATTTATTGCTTTGATTTATTTTTAGCTGCCAAGTTGTTTGGTTCTCTTCATACCTCAATATTCATCTTCAATGTTGTGCCAAATCTTCTTTCTAAAATTTGCTCATTGGCACCCTGAACCATATAAATAATACCATACAGAAAGAGGCCATTTAACCCATGTCTGTACTGGCTGAATTAACTAGACGCACATTCTAATCCCACTCATCAACATTTGATCTGTGACTGAGAGAAAAAAAAATCAAAACATGACTACTCAAAGAAGAGGTTGAACAACATAGTAGTTGGTGCATTACATTGCATGATGGAGACACTTTCAACCTATACCACCAATAAAGATTAACTGGTCATTACCTCCGTGTTGACGGGGGGGACTTGGTGGCGTAAAGGTTGACTGCTTTATTTTCCCTTCAAGTAAGTTACTACATTTCAAAGACGACCCAATGCCTGTGAGACATTTGCACCATCCTGGACATAAGACACCAAACTCATTTAAGCTTGTTCTTTTATGAAAAATTAACATATATAAACTACAATTCCTCAAAAATGCAAAAATGACCACTCACTTGCACGAATCAATGACGTAAACTACATCATTAATCGTAATACTTGTTTCTGCGATGTTTGTGGCCAAAATAACCTGGAGGTAGTAAAGTATACTAATTAAAACAAAATGTACTGCATACAACTTCATCAAACCGATTAAACTGATTGGATTGTCCTGTTTACAGAACTGTTCCAAAGCCCTTAAACTAACGCAAAAGCTTCATCTGTTTTGTAGATGTCACAGGCTGATCACTTTGTTTTAAGAACAAAGAAAATTACAGCACAGGAACAGGCCCTTCGGCCCTCCAAGCCTGCACCGATTCAGATCCTCTATCTAAACCTGTCGCCTATTTTCCAAGGATCTGTATCCCTCTGCTCCCTGCCCATTCATGTACCTGTCTAGATACATCTTAAATGACGCTATCGTGCCCGCCTCTACCACCTCCGCTGGCAACGCGTTCCAGGCACCCACCACCCTCTGCGTAAAAAACTTTCCACGCATATCTCCCTTAAACTTTTCCCCTCTCACCTTGAAATCGTGACCCCTTGTAATTGAGTCCCCACTCTGGGAAAAAGCTTCTTGCTATCCACCCTGTCTATACCTCTCATGATTTTGTAGACCTCAAATCAGGTACCCCCTCAACCTCCGTCTTTCTAATGTAAATAATCCTAATCTACTCAACCTCTCTTCATAGCTAGCGCCCTCCATACCAGGCAACGTCCTGGTGAACCTCCTCTGCACCCTCTCCAAAACATCCACATCCTTTTGGTAATGTGGCGACCAGAACTGTACGCAGTATTCCAAACGTGGTCGAACCAAAGTCCTATACAACTGTAACATGACCTGCTAACTCTTGTACTCAATACCCCGTCCGACGAATGAAAGCATGCCGTATGCCTTCTTGACCACTCTATCGACCTACGTTGCCACCTTCAGGGTACAATGGACCTGAACACCCAGATCTCTGTGCATCAATTTTCCCCAGGGCTTTTCCATTTACTGTATAGTTCGCTCTTGAATTGGATCTTCCAAAATGCATCACCTCGCATTTGCCTGGATTGAACTCCATCTGACATTTCTCAGCCCAATTCTCCAATCTATCTATATTCTGCTGCATTCTCCGACAGTCCCCTTCACTATCTGCTACTCCACCAATCTTAGTGTCATCTGCAAACTTGCTAATCAGACCATCTATACCTTCCTCCAAATCATTTAGGTATATCACAAACAACAATGGTCCCAACACAGATCCCTGTGGAACACCACTGGTCACAGTTCTCCATTTTGATAAACTCCCTTCCACTACAACTCTCTGTCTCCTGTTGCCCAGCCAGTTCTCTATCCATCTAGCGAGTATCCCATGCGATTTCACTTTCTCCATCCGCCTACCATGGGGAACCTTATCAAATGCCTTACTGAAGTCCATGTATATGACATCCACAGCCCTTCCCTCATCTATCAACTTTGTCACTTCCTCAAAGAATTCTATGAAGTTGGTAAGACATGACCCTCCCTGCACAAAACCATGCTGCCTATCATTAATAAGCCCATTTTCTTCCAAACGTAAATAGATCCTATTCCTCAGTATCTTCTCCAGCAGCTTCCCCACCACTGACATCAGGCTCACCGGTCTATAATTACCTGGATGATCCTTGCTACCCTTCTTAAACAAGGGGACAACATTAGTAATTCTCCAGTCCTCTGGGACCTCTCCTGTGCTTAAGGATGCTGCAAAGATATCTGTTAAGGCCCCAGCTATTTCTTCTCTCGCTCCCCTCAGTAACCTGGGATGGATCCCATCCGGACCTGGGGACTTGTCCACCCTAATGCCTTTTAGAATACCCAACACCTCCCCTCTCCTTATGCTGACTTGACCTACAGTAATCAAACATCTATCCCTAACCTCAACATCCGTCATGTCCCTCTCCTCAGTGAATACCGATGCAAAGTACTTATTAAGAATCTCACTCATTTTCTGACTCCTCGCATAACTTCCATTCTTTGTCCTTGAGCGGGCCAACCCTTTCTCTAGTTACCCTCTTGCTCCTTATGTATGAATAAAAGGCTTTGGGATTTTCCTTAACCCTGTTTGCTAAAGATATTTCATGACCCCTTTTAGTCCTCTTAATTCCTTGTTTCAGATTGGTCCTACTTTCCCATTTTGGCTATGCTTAAAATAAAATCTTAACTACAAATCAAGCTTTTCAACCCTCTCTTCCTGCTGCGTTGGGTGGTTAATTTCCACATCTAAAACATTTGCTTCCACCAAACTTACTTGTTTAATACCAATATTAGGAATACATTCTAACCCTCTTTCAAACAGATCTTAGTTTTTTTTTAAAAAGCGTATTCCACTTATCATTCAATTCATGAAATGCTACCACCTCAAAATTCAACAAATATTACAAAAAAGACTAGCACAATCATACGGCCAGGCAAAATTACAGCCAAATGAAGCTTCATGTTCCTCATCCATACCATTTATAGATTTATAGCACCAGGCTTTACATTTTAGCATTGGATTCAACATATATTACACTTGCAACAAATTTAGAACTTCGAAACATATTCCTTACACATTAAATACAGAGTTGGTTCTGAATTATCATAATTTACTATCTAACCTTTCTGACTCCTGATGGCACAGGATCAAACACTCTGCGCTGTTCTTCCCTTGGAATCTGCGAATGTAATGGTAGAATTCTGTACCTGTGGCTTCCTGTTAAATAAAAGGCTGATTTTAGTGTACACTGTAAATTAAAAATGTACAGTAATTCCAAAAGAAATTTAACTATAGATTTGCATCCGTAATACTGAAAACAAATCTGATGTCTTTCAAATTCAGCTAAGGTTTTGTTGTCTAAAGATATGTTAGCTTGCAAGGTGCTTTCAATACTTGAAGACTAAAAGTCAAGCATGACAAACTTACTTGGTTTCCAGTTTCAATTCATTAAACAGGCATGCCTTTTAGTTTTTTAATAGATTCCTGTACGTACATTTTACTACCAGATGAAATCTTACATTCAAATGATTTAACGTAACAAATTTCAGACTAATTTGCTGTATAGTTGACTCAGTGCATAATGATATTCTATCCCATCAGTAATACAAGTATTGTTAAAAAGGTTTCTTCATAACTTGGAGAAAAAGCGTACAACAGAACTTCCACCCTAACTTTGCACCCCTTTAAATTTCATGAATTCTCCAGACTGTATATATAGATAAATGATCAATGACATAATTTCATCTGTAAAATACATGAATGTGAACATTATACGTAAAATGTGAAAAACGGTTTCATTTTCATGATACTGGACTAACAGCACGCATAGGAAAAATGAACTGACTAATCTCCTTTCTGCTGCATGACTCTGTGAAGTGGAGTTAAAATCACACAAGTTGGGAAATGCTTTCCACAAATCAGGTCATTCATGGACCGGCACCAACAAAAAAAACCAAGCTTTAATACTCTTTCACCGAAAATGACTGATAAAGAGGAGGGATTGGGTGCCGATCTAGATCGCAGCAGCATCATTTCAATTCCATGACCAGGATGTGTACTTAAAAACATGAATCCTTTGTTCAGATATTTAAAAGTGTTTTCCACTCTCTAATGGCTCAGTGAGTTTGCAAAGTAAGCTGAACCTTGAAGGTTTGCCTCAGGTTTTTGTCATAATTCCTTGAATTGCAATTGAGTCAGATCTCGCGTGATATGCCAATGAGGATACAAAAATTGGCTGCAATGCTTTTGGTCAGGAAGGTGAAAAATCATCCATGGTTCCTCCTCTTAACCATTACAAATCTGGGACAGTTCATGTGACTGTGCATCAGTGACCAATAGCTGCACAAAACATGAATTTGGGAGTTCAGAAATAATAGGAAAGGAGAAAATAGGAAGATATTAACAACTTTGAGGAAATAAAAAGCAGTTTGATTGAATTGTGAAAAAGAAAAGCAGAAACAATCCTGTGCTAAACCTTCTCATATACTTTCTTGTGATTCAATTGGTAGCAAGAACCGACAGTCTTTTGCATGTAGATACGGTGTGATCCAGGAGAGGAACAAAAACGTTTAGGTGAGAAACCCACTCCTCCCAAGTAGCAAGTTCAAGAACCAACATAAAAAGACTACTGACATTCGATGTAAGTGTCATAAGAGGAGGAGAAGAAGAAGAATAAAAATATTTATTTCAGAATGTCAACAAATAAAATTGAAAGAATTGCAACATAGAAACAAGACAAAGACATACCAAAGTACGGGTTTGTTTCCAAGTGTCTTTGCATAGCAAAAATCAAGTTCCAGCCTGGTAAGAAAACAAGAACTGCACCATCTACATTCAGTGTTTCAATATACTTCAGCAATGCCTCTATTAGTTCAAAAGGAGTCTCCTTTTCACTCATTTGAGCCATAGCACGTTTGGTTTCTGTCTCATAGTCATCACCACAGATATTGTTACAGTTCACCTAGCAAGGCAGAGATTAGTTTTTATAAGTCAACAAACTTGACAGCAACTTCAAACTGATTATTTCAAACTTCAGTAGTAATCAAAGATCTGAGTTGATAGTTGTTCAAGTCATTGGCAAATTGCAACTCCAAAACAAGCACACATTATCCTACCATTTTGCTTAATTATCATGAACAATAGCTATTCAGATTTGATTAAGATTTTTAATTTAAACTTCAAATTTCTTGAACTTACCCTTTCATAGCACATCCAAGTTAAGTATTACTGGTCTGGCTAAGAAGCTCTGTATTTCTGCTGTGGGCCTGCTTGACTATAACATTAATCTTCAAGAGAGGACCCATACATCTGAGTACATAGTACTTCTACTGCTGTTCCAACCAAAATCAGGTATTACCTGATTTATGATCAAACAGTCAAATTAACAGATTATGCAGAATGAAGATCCTTACCTGCAAGAGGTGCAATTTTAGTGGATGATAATCCAAATGTACTTTTAGTACCATATTACTTGCGTCGTTTCCAACTGACAACACTATATTTAATTATGCACAGAAAAATAAAATGCACTGCACATTGCTATTCAATTCTTTGCAATGATTCTTGATATTTACTTTTAAATCTGCAGTCTATTCAATTTGATAAATATGGGAATGTGTGGAAACATGTACTAACTACTTTAGACCAGTTCTTGTTTTAACTGAATGCTGTGGATGAATAATTTTGCAATAGTTTAAAATACCTCCAGACAAAATTTAGATTTTTCTTACCTCCTCATCATCACCACCACCATCCTCATCTTTGTCCTTTTTCTTCTTGTCTCTTGGAGGAGGAACAAATCGAGTCATCTGAATACAGTCTTCTAAGAAATATTCTGGAATCATCAATTAAAGTACTTGAAATATTAAAATTACTTAGGCAGCACAGTAACATTAAATAGTCAATGATTTGAATATGAAAAATAAAAAGACAACTGTGTTCAGCAAGTTTGAAGTTCTACAGCTAGATATTGTTGTCTTCAGAAATTCCTCAAAATGTTTCCAATCTTTTGGGGATGATGTTCCACACTTCAAAGCTTTTTTGTTTTATAAATCTTGCAAGTAAACAAAAAGAGATAGCTTGAATAGCTATTTCATAAAACATTATTTCACTGAAGTAACAGTGTGCCACACACCTTGTTAAATCTACTCAAGACAACAGTGCCAAAACAAACAAAAAATTTCGCTAAACAAGATAAACAATCCAGAATGTTTTTATAGTATACCAAAGAATAATTATTCATTTATTTTGAATAGACTAATAAACGTTAAAACCACCAAATGCCAACAGTTACTCATGCTAATTTCCCCCTTTCTTGACAAGCAGTTAAACCTTACAATGTTTAAGGCAACTTTTGTAGAGATTAGGTCAGAAGTTAGCTTGGCGATGAATGTTGCCTATAAATCACTTGATTGCACAATAAAATTCTCAGTAACTAAATTTATCCAAACAAATAACCAAAATAATATGAATATTGAGTGGCTTAAATTTTATGAAATTTATTATCGTCACAAAAAAGCAGCCACACAGTAATTAATTTTTGAAACAGAGCTAATGTGCAATGCATTACTTATTTTTCTTTACGTACCTTGAACAGGATATGTTCTTCCATATACTTCGATTATTGGACAATTAAAATAATACTCTCTGAACATGGTGGTGTCAATAGTTGCAGACATGAGAATAACACGGATGTCGGGATAAGCTTGGACAACATCTCGCAAAACCACAAGGAGAAAATCAGTCTGAAACAGAATTGAGAAGAATTTTGCCTTTGTCTAAAATTAGTCCCATTTTTAAAAAATAAAGCAATGACAACCATAGTTAGTAGCATGCGGTCAACCTTTGCAGCCTTCAAAAAAAAAACTGCCAGGAGCACGATCAACTTTGAAGCAGAGTATGAAATGTGAACCACTGGTGTGGGTGGTCAGTATTTTGAAATCTAAACAAAAACAATAATTCATTCTAGAAGTTATTGAATTAATAGTACAAACTTATCTATAAGCACAAAGTATCTTTAAAATGAATGAATTCATTGTCGTCAGTATCCATCGCAAACTTCATCAAATTCTTTGAGACAATTTCGCTATGGCATCATGGTAAGGATCCCACTCTGGATCTGCTCTGACTTTCAGAATTACCGAACGAAAACAAATCATCTCTTCCATTGGCTGAATCAGGTATTATGCATTTTTGAAAGATCTTTGTGCACTAATAACGTCCCATGATTTAATGACAAAAACCACACACATCAAACAGAGAAAGTTTATTCTCTGTCACCATCCAGCTATTCTATTCAATATGAACATGATCTTTTTAATGGCTTGTTGTACACGTCCAAAGGCTTTAGAGGCACTGGTAGTACATCAAACGTTGATACCATTTATTTGTTTGCATCTTTTGATCTTGCTATATGGTATGTGAACAAAGTTCACATGAGTAAGCCACATTCTTTACACGAGCCACTAGGATGCCTAACACACACGCCATCGATTCATAACTCTACTCCACCCTCAATCATCAAATCATTATTGTCACTGACACATACAAGACCCTTGAAGAGAACTTCATTTTCCGAATAGTTATATATTAGGAAATTATCACAGGCTTTAATTTTCTTCCAACAGCTAAGCAGACGAGAATCATTCAATCTGGTTTTCTAATGTCATATCACTTTCACCAGATTATTTTCAAATCTTCCACTCAATTTTCTGTTAATATGATTTAACGGCTACTTTGATTTTTCCACTGATGAGTCACCAGAAACTGGAAATTTTGACATTGGGGAATTATGGTAAGTTTTTCTTAATTTACTCGTGAGACATGGGTGTTGTTAGCTAGACTAGCATTTATTGCCTGTTCCTCTTTACTATTGAGAAGGTGGCACTGAGTTACCTTTTTGAATTGCTGCAGTCCACGCACTGTAGGTAGTCCTACAATGTTGTTATGGAGGAAATAATAAGATATTGAACCAATGGCACTGAACGAACTGCAATATATTTCTGAGTCGGAATGATGAGTGGCTTGGAGGGGAACTTGACGGTGATGGAGTTCCCATGTGTCTGTTGTTCCTGTCCTTCTAAATGGAACTGGGTTTGGAAGGTGCTGTCTAAGGATCTGTGGCAAATTTCTGCCATGCATCTCTTAGAGAACAGACACTGCTGCGCCTGGGCATTGGTGGCAGTGTGACGAAATGTTTGTGGACATGGTGCCTGACATTTGTATGATACAAATGTTACTTGCTACTTGTCAGCCCAATCTTGGATATTGCCCAGATTTTGTTGTACTTAGACATGGACTGTTTCACTGTCTGAGGAGTTACAAATGGTGCTCTGAGCAATCTTGTCTTCTGCTGCAAAACCAGACTGCTGTCCCACTTTAGTTCCATTAAACACCTACAGTAACTATCTACTGGATTCAGAGTTTGATTTATCCCACTTAAGTGAGCACATATGCACTGCAATTCTGGTGATGAAGTAACTCTTCAACGATTTGAGGCCCTCAAAATTGACTGGATTGCTCTGCAGAGACAGACAGCATGGATTCAAAGGTAAAATTAGCTCCTTCTGTGCCATAATGTCTTGGCCTATTTTAATTCTACTTTTTAATCACAGAATCATAGAATCCCTACAGTGCAGCAGCCAGCCATTCAGCCCATCAAGTCTACACTAACCCTCCAAACAGCATCCCAACCAGACCTACCCTATCCTTATAACCCCACATTTCCACGGTTAATCCAGCTAACCTGCACATCTTTGGACCGTGGGAGGAAACCGGAACACTCAGAGGAACCCACACATGACATGGAGAGAATGTACAAACACCAGTCAGCCAAGTGTGAAATGGAATCTGGGTTGCTGGCGCTGTGAGGCACAGTGCTAACCACTGAACCACCATGCTGCCCTGGCTATATCTCAAACAAAATCCGTACTCTCTTCATTTTTTGAAAGATCTCTTGTTTTATATATAATGGGAAGTCCACACTCATGGTAGATGATCAGAAGTGATATAAACCATCGAGAAACCTTCAGCTTGCTCAGTCACCTTAATGATTCAATGGATCTCCAGTACTCATTCTTATAACAATTTTTGAAATATTACTTCACGGCTCATATTGACATCATGCATCACATGCTTGTGTTTAAACATTCTGTTCTTTTCACCATTTGTGTAAACGTAAGTTATGTCTGGCTCGTGTCTCCTCATCCCTTCCATGTTTATGTGCTTTGACCTTCTTCCCAGTTTCCTATCACAAGATGGTGATATAATGTTAAAAGTTAGTGATGTTTTTAAATCTATATTAATTTTGTCATCAACAAAATTATTCCCCTTAGATCAGTGTTTTCAATCTTACAGCAGTGCTAATGACCTATACCCAATTATCATTGCAATTTCAGTGAAGCTTATGTCCTGTACATCTATATAACTTGAACATGGTGCATTGCCGAATGTCTCCAGGTTTTGACTGTTCCCATACATATGTTAGAAACCTAACAGATTTCATTATATCCCTTTCTACACTGACCCCACCGAGTACCACACCTTTTCCCAGAAGGGTCTAGGCCCGAAACATCAGCTTTCCTGCTCCTCTGATGCTGCTTGGCCTGCTGTGTTCATCCAAGTCCACAACTTGTTATCTCCAAATTCTTTGCAGTTTGTTTTTCTTTTCTAATGTTACATTCTGGTTCTCATTGCTATTCACAGTTGTATGCCCACTCCAGTGATACTTTAAAATGTTCAAAAGCCAAATCTTAAGTTTAAGACTGAAGGCAAGAACATTATTAGGATGAACTGAATGCTGATTTGCCCAAGACATAAAGACTAACTTATACTGAACAGTATAGAACTGACATTAGTAAGTCACATAATAAAGCAGAATCTCATTCAGGATTTCAGTCAGCTAAGCTTCAATATTTGAAGCTTTATTAAAAAGTTGCTTCTGGGGCATTCTGCACGTTACAATGATGTGAATGTTTGTGAACACATTATGGACGTTGAAACTTTGACAAAAGGATAAGAATCAAAAGCAACGTATGCTGAAAGGTATAAGGTGGGACCTGAAATTGAATCTGCAGCCAATAGATAAGTATAGGTTGGAGAAGCCTCCAAGGCATTGGAATGCAAAAGAAGAGAGAAAAAAGCCCAAGCGTTCCTCAAAAAAGAATGAAAAGAATGCTAAAGCTGAAGACATAGTCATATTAAACACCCCGTTAGAAACAAGGTACGTGCAAATACTCACATTAATGTCTCTTTCATGGATTTCATCTACTATTACATGGCTTATACCACGAAGACCAGCTTCTAATTTCCTCAACAGGACACCTAATAGAATACAATCATCATTAGTTTTAAAAGTATAAAGGCATTTATTTGATATGACAAGCTATTAGGTAGATTGCATGATTTGCATTAGGGTGCTGTCAGACCATGAAATAAAGGTATTTCATCTTTTGCAACTTGCAGAGGTTCTGCTGAGAAATGGTGTAACACATTTACAAGCAGTGCTTCATGTGCTTCTAATGTACTCATTAAATTTCTATGGGCTTAAAAAAATCTCACCACGGAAACATTAAATAGATGCAGCACAGGTCATTTGGCTCATCATGATTGTGCTGGCTAAGAACAACTCACTTAAAGCCACTTTCCTGCCATTTCCCCATTGCCATGAACACCATCTCTTCAGACAAACTGAAGAATTCTAACTATCTGCTCCTCTAATAAAAACAAAAATTTTTAAAAATGCTCATTCTGGCTTGATTTTTCTGCAACAAACAACAGATGACTTGCAATGCAATACTAACCTACAGTACAGAACATTATGCTGCCATGAGGCCTTGGTAATATGGATTCAAAACGAACACTGTAACCACAGCTCTTGCCTAGTTCTTCTCCACGCTCGCAACCAACACGCTCAGCGACAGACACAGCACTAATACGTCGAGGCTGGAAAATAATACAATAGGAAATGAAACATGTTTGCATACATAAGCATTTCCACTAGGGAGGGGTTCAATACCCAAAAAATTAGTTCTCTCAAGAGATACTACCTAAACTATTTTCCAGCATTTAAAAAAGTTGTTTTCAGTTTTCAAAGTATCATTTAACAGATGATAAAAGTACATTAACATATCTGGCTGTATGAAGAGAGTTATCAAACCCAAGTTTGAAATGTGTACTGCAGTAGTGATTTTTTTTTCTAGTTCAGCAGTCAAATACCAACAATGGAAATGCTACATTTATCTGAGTGATCCAATATATCAAATTGACATTCATTTGTTTGTGGAGTCAATCTTTTTTTGGTAACAGGATAGTTAATTGTCTTGCTAAAGAACCTCCAAAACCACCAATTGCTATATGCCTGGTACAAAATAACTACAGAGATTTAACTAAACCCAGAGCCTGAATCTGCGTTGCCAGTTACACATGGCATCACAAACTTTGTTATATATTCAACTAGAAACACTTGCCCACAACTGGGATTATCCAGAATTGAGTAGACAGGTCCATCCCTTTGGAGATGGATTTGAAGAAGGTCAAGTGGATACATATAATCATAAGGACCAGGTTTAGGCCAGTCAGCCTCTTCAGCCTGCACCACTATTCGATAAGATCATGGCCGATTTGATCACTCCATACATCTGCCCATTCTCGATAACCTTTCACTCCCTTGCTTGTCAAGAATCTGTCAACTGCTGTTTCGAATATATTCAAAGGTTCTGCTTCCACTGCCTTTTGAGGAAAAGAGCTCCAAAGACTTAGACCGTCAGAGAAAACTATTCGCTGCATCAGTTTTAAGTGGGTAAGCTCATATTTTAAAAGTGACCCCCTACTCTCACTCCGAACCCCCACTCCTCCCACGAAAGCAAGTATTTCTTTTAGATACACATTTTAATTTAGCATTTCTCACACACCTGTGTGACTACAATATTACATTCCGATCCTTTGCCACTTCTGATGTATTCATCAAGGATGTATTGAGGAACCTGAGTAGTTTTACCACACCCAGTTTGACCTCGAATAATGATTACTGGATTGCAGCTGACTGATTTAAGTATTTCATCCTCAAAGTTTTTAACTGGTAATTGGCTCCTTTCTTTCAGTATCTGTAGTGAAACACACAAAGCAAAGTTATTATTGCCCAACTTTTAAGTTAAAAAGGACATGCAATCAGGCTTATACTGCCCCCACAATGACGTACTACCTTAAATGACTCATGTAATTTACAATTAAAAACCTACTGGTACAGCAATAACTTGCATTTATGTGGAGGCTCTAAAGTAGCAAAATATCAGTTTCATAGCAGCATTATTCAGCAAATTTGACACCAGGAGGAAACAAAATTGTAGTCAAAGAGGGAAACTTAAAGGAATATTTAAAACGAAGACAGGGAGTGAATTTGAAAGCTCAGGGTCAAGCACCAATGACACAGCAGTCGAGAGTGAAGTAATTAAAATCAGGGACTGATGAGTTGAAGGAACACATACTTCAGGAGCTGTAAGGTCAGAGACAACAGAGACAGATAGGGTGGAACATGGCATAGAGAGATTTGAACTTTAAAATTTCACTCCTGTATTCATCATAATTAGATGCAGTAAACTGTAAAAGTTAATTTAGTTTCGGTTTAGAAATGGGAACTGATTTCCACTGTTTCTTCCTTTCCATTAGCAGCCCAGTATGGAAACAGAACCTGAGTGTTTAAACAGGGCAGTGAGAAGTTTCCATTGTCATGACAATGACTAGAAATTTCTAATTGGAAAAGACTGACACAAACATTAAAATAGGGACAATGGTCCAGATGCAAGACTTTTAATACAAGATACTTTTGGAAAGGCTTAAAAAAGTTCTTGGGAAGGAGTGATAGAGATTCATGAAGATAATAAAACTCTTATTCAATAGACTGCATGCCTGACAACACTGCATTTCCCCTTACTATTGCACTGAAGTATCAGTCTAGACTGCACATGAATTCAATTAACATCAATACAACAAACTAAGCTGGGTCACACAATAAGTCATGTTATACATTACGGAAAACCATCAAGTGATTCAATACCAATTAGTACTTGAAAATAATGGCTGAAGTTGTTTTATGAAATTATTACAAAGTACATATTAGAAAGGAAAATGGTACCTACATGTTGTAGATTGCTATCATTCTGCATCTGGTATTGTAGCTCATTCTTTAAGTCCATACTGATTTGTTCCGGTGTTGCCTACAAAAAGTACAATTGTGTTACAACAGTCCATCTGACAAAATTTACTTGTTGAGGACAAAGTTGTTGTTAAAGATAAATGATAAAGTCCATAAACCTGTAAAAGGAGTTTCTATATTTCACTTGCAAAGTCAATTCCAAAATCCATAAACCAACTGACAGAATTACTTTGTATAAAAGTTCTATTTAGGTACATGCCCAGGGTGGAGGGGAGGGGGCTATCTTCAAAGCAATTTTTTTGACAAAATTACTGTATGGTAGCTTGCAGCTGAACTTATGGTTAATTGGTATGAGCAGGTAGAGCCAGACAACTTGATAAAGAATCATTTATTGTTGCATAAAACAAATGCTGCTGGAGATGAATGGAGTGGACAGGTGGTAAAAGACGATTGACAACAATTTCAGGAATATACAACAGGTCATGATCTCTCCTCCATTATGTCAGATAGTAGAAATATCTCTGCAGTCAGAACATGGCTAGCCATTACACCAAAATAACTGAGTTTTCAAATGAGTATCTGTTCATGATCAGGATCTTCTGATGACCTTTGGGCTTGAATTTAAAAAAATTTGCTCATAAAATTCATTTCCATATTTAATATAACTGAACAAATTTAATTAACATCCTTATAGAGAATAAACTGGTGCTCCCTTTCTTACAGTGTCACGGAATTTCAACCCTGTTACAGTGCAGGAGGCCATTCAACCCATCATGTCTACACCAGTAGCAGGAAATTCAAAACAAGGGAGATTCTGCTACTCCCATTTCAGCTGCATTGGAAAAGTTACTTTTCAATGCGACTTCCCTGTCCTATTGACCATGCTGTCAAAGCTTTGCAAGACTTCCCTTCACTGAACCCCGCAACAGCTAGATGAACTTTACTGAGCTGGAGAATCCGATGGACATACTCATTTGTTGATCCTGCAAGGGATTTAATTGCCTTTTAATACATTTTGAAACACTAACAGGTGCTTCTGACAGCCTGCAAGACTTCCGTAAGAACTCTTTCGACTGCTCTCCACCATAAGAATTTTTAATCCCAATATCACGAAAGGAGACTCTCACTCCACCTCTCCGAGGATCTTCTGGCCTGTGAACACTCTCTGCTGCAGAGGCCCTATTTTAAAGCCTACAAATATGGGCCATTGAGAGTCATTGCCTGCCCAGATAACAGTGAGGCTTGGAGGGCTTCCCATTCAACAGTTACCAATAATCAAAGACTCATGCTGGATACAATGACCCACAAAGGACCACTACACCTATAAAGGTCCCAAACACAGTGGGCACAGCCCATGGAAAAGTTGACCAATGGATTTAATGTTTTCTGATGGGCAGATGTATGATGCAGATTGATATCTGTATGCAGTTAATAATCCAAGGAACAGTTACCTTTCACGTTTACTGAGCCACATATACCAGCCTAGAAACTGACAAGTTCATAGATCATAGAATCCCTACAGTGTGGAAACAGGCCCTTTGGCCTAACAAGTCCACACTAACCCTCAGAGTGTCTCACTCACACCCATTCCCCTATTATCCACCTAGTCTGCACATCCCTGAACAATATGGGCAATTTAGCATAGCCAATCCACCTAGCCTGCATGTCACTGGACTGTGGGAGGAAACCGGAGCACCCAGAGGAAACTCACACAGACTGGGGAGAACGTGCAAACTCCACACAGACTGTCGCTCAAGGATGGAATTGAACTTGAGCTCCTGGCAATGTGAGGCAGCATTGCTAACCACTGAGCCAAGACTAATAGATAATGGATGAGAGGGCACTCACTTCATTTGAAAAGATGAATCGGTTTTTAATGTGTATGATCCAAGTCCAGACATTCAGGTCATGTGCATCCTACCATACTCCCTTAGTGTTTTATCTACTCTCTTAATTATGAGCTCACATTGGGCATGGGGATCCAGAGGTGGGATATACAAGGAGGATGGAATGGAATGAGATACAGAAAAGGTAGAATGGGTGTGCAGCAATCTGAAAGATACTACGTACTTAAACACACAGACCACTCTTAACTTAATGGAAGCTCAGGTGATTTCTAAAATGCAAACTATCCACGGACAAAACGAAATGTGCAGAGGAATAGCTCACATAGCACCAAGAAAATTTCGATTGAATGTTGCTCTTCACACCCAATCCTGCGTTATCAACTCTGTCTCTATACTTGGAAGATACAAAAGTATGGATTTTACAATATTCATACTTCCAGCAAATTTTACTTCTTTTTCTGGTATCACTTACATAAGCAAGAGGCCCTTCATCAATATTGCTACTGGTCCAAGGGTTCCAGTTGACTTGAGGCGGCGACCATGGCACAACTCCTGCAAAATTCTGCCGAATTGATGGCTCAAATTGGGCAAGCTTCCCAACAGTAAGCGAAATTGGATTATTAGGGTCTTCAGGCTACAGAATCAAATGAATGCAGTTAACATTGTGCATACACATATCCATTAAAGCCTTGAAAACATCACCATAAAAACACATGTATCAAAGTTTCAATAGTATTTTGCCCACCACAATCGCCCTCTTAGACCAATTCTAAGTTTTCATTTGTATTTTCCTCCTTCCTTTTTAGAAACAAATTCTGTTAGTGATTTGACAGCAAAACACAATTATTATACAAAATGAAAATAGCCTGTGTGCTTTCTATTTAGACATGCATGACATATAGTGCCCTCGTTTTGCCTTTCAAAAATTCCTTTCAAATGCCTACAAGAGAATCTATTTTCAGGTGCCCATAGTAATTGTCTTTGAAATTGGTCATTCAGAGCTCGCCAAGAATGATCTAATGCAAGATCTCCCTCGGATACCCTCCTCCTGTGAAAAGATACTGGCCTCCACTTATTACACAGATCTATCAGACATCAGAAACAAAACTGGATCCCATCATGCAGCGGTCCTACAATACATGGCATGACTGCTTTGATCAGTATCAAAAACAGTAAATTTTATTTTACCATGTAGCTAATGAAATAGGGACAACATTGATACACAGCAAATGACAGTAACAAAAAAATATTCAAAGCAAGTGTTTTCTCCCTCAACATTTCCAGCAAGTTTCAATTTATATACAGTCGATTAAAATAACAAATACTTACTGATGGTACAAGCTGCAATCCAAGGTCATTTACAACAGATTCCAGCTGACGTTCCAAGTCACTAGCAATATTTAGCTCATATGGCTCCACCTGAAGAATAAATAAAACCAACTGAAAATCTTTACACCATTTAAGCATACCTTTCAAACTTGAAAAGACTGTCTCAGAAAAACAAGTAACAGAATATCATTCCAGTCAGAAATAGTTTCCTACTGTTATTTTGCAAGTTCTGAAATTCTGGATGGAACTGGAACCCAAAAGCTAAAATGATGCTCTCTGGCCATTCAGATAAATCTCAAGAGCCTGCAAGAGACTACTTGAGAATAATGCAGACCAGAAAATTCTTCACTTTGTTTAGAAATTACAAAATTCCACCTCATCTACTGCTTTCCTCCTCCTCAAAGCCACTAAAGAAGGCATGTAGTTTCCCCTTCTTTTGGCTCCTGAGCTGGTACAACATTCCATGAGAGCTAAGCATTCTTCAATACCACTCCCATGCAGTCATTCCTCATGTATAACAATGATTATTACAGCTAATCATCATAACTACGCCTTTTCCTGATATCATACAGTATTCATACTTACAACAGGAACCATGATCCATTCTATTCCCTAATCAGAAGACAAGGAAGCACTCTGACCCAAATGGGTCTAGAAGTTCATGTTGAATATATTCAAGACAGACATTGATAGATTTCTAGATATTAAAAAATATCAATATGAGGACGGTACAGGAGAAAGACATTGAGGTATTCAAGCTCAAAGGGCCTACTCGCCTATTCCTGCTTCCATTCCCAAGTTCCTAAGCTGTGCCTCTGCCACTTAGATGAAAGGATAATGAAGAGAAGACAAGACAATCAAATTCGTGACATCCCAAGTCTGCTCAAGTATTCATTGTTAAATTTACTGAGATGCATGAGGGATAAAATAGTTATTTGGTAGGTCAGCTTATGGCATAAAAAGCAATTTAAACAGCCATTATGAAGGAAGCCGCAATAGAAGAAAATTTCATCATAAAATAATGACATTTTCTTGCACTGTAGAAATGTACAGAAGTCATAAAATACTCCATGCTAGACCCGTTAAAAGACTCACCTTCTCTGTTTCTTTCTTCTTTGTATGTCCAGTAAAAGCTTCAAACACTCCCAGATGGTAAAGCTGTCTGACCAATGACAGTGCACATGATTGCGCAGCCAGTTTTTTATTTGAACCATGCTCACGGGCTGTAATTCCTTAATTGCAGGAGGAAGGAAAAGGAGATCCAATTTATGTTTCAGCATGAATTTCACAGTTATTTTTGCAGCATATGTAAATTCATGAAGTTCCCGAAATAACAATTCAATAAATAAAAGTCACTTCAAGCAATAAGATGCTAATGAATTCCCTGATAATTTCTGGGGTATAAAATTGCTGTTACTGTTTTTCCTGTAATGTACAAATGCAGGATTATCATTGTGTATGAATGTTCATTTCTGTCACTACCATTTTGCTACACAATCAAAAATCATCCCTGCAAATTATGCAACAACTTAACTTTCAATGTCAATTATGTATACATACAGAGATAGTAGGAACTGCAGATGCTGGAGAATCTGAGATAACAAGGTGTAGAGCTGGATGAACACAGCAGTCCAAGCAGCATCAGAGGAGCAGG